ACACACACACGATCGAGAGCAAGTTGTGAATAATGCACTTCCCTGAAAACGACCAAGTATCCATCAGCAGCTCGACTGGACACCAAAAATTGGTAACAAAGATGACTTCCCAACATAGCCATATGACCCAGAAATGACTCCAGACACGCCCTAACTAAACAAACTGCAACCGGTAACCGCTTCCTCGTGCCGTCGATGCGCAAGGAGGCTACGCCCTGTTTCGAAAAGGACTCTAATGGCATGTACGAGTGCGATTCAATTCTGGCGTCGAGAACCATGCCATAGCCGCCATAGCCCACATGTAAGCAGAACATGTGACCTCTGACCCTTATATTTGTCACCCCACTTGCTGAAGTGGTGAGCATCAAATTGTACCACACCTCCTTGTTGTGATGCCCGCTCCGCTTTTGCTTTGAAGAAAGTGTGCTGAGATTGAAAGATAGATGGCAAAGCTGTGGACCACTGCCTGCAACGATCCACTTCGGGAGCAGAACTATACAGCATGCACCGGTCACCGGTTTCAAAAGCCCTCCAGCCTTACGGGCGAGGTACACTGCCGGAAAAGTAATATGGGTGGGCGGGGACTAGATTCCGGAGATTAGGTTCGGGCCTGGCAGGAAACTCGCCTTGCTGGGCCTGAGGCTCGCGATGGGAGGAAACTTGACTCCCGGCCCTCGTATCGATGGGAGGCGACTTGATATGGTTGGACTTACGATCCGAAGTTCTGTGATACACGGCAACGAGCTGTTGAGATTGTTGAAAATGCATCCGACGCCCAGCGAGGTCCTGGCAAATTAGAAAGCCTCCTCCACCAATTCCTCAAGGCTGTCTAGCATATGCAGTTGCACCACACTCCGACAACCTTCCAGCTCCCTCTGGAAGCCCCTCTGCACGAAATCCGGAACAGACTGTTCCCTTGCAATATCCATGACGGAGGCCCCGCCTGAATCTCGCAGGTCCACCTGTGCTCCTAAAAGAAGAAGTGCGGCGGCCCCGTCGTAATGTGCACCCATGATGGCATTCATCAGTGGTGTCCGTCCGTTTGCTCGATATGCGACCCTGGTCAAGGGAGTGACCCTGCCGCATCTGTACTCAAGAGACTTCAAGGCAAAGACGACTCCGAGCGGTGACAGCAGCGGGAAGTGGGACCTGTAGTTCACATCCGCCCGCATCGAAATGAGCCGAAAGGCCATTTCAGGCGTACCCCCACGGAAAATCATGGCGTAAGAAAGACAGTCTTGGAGGTGAGCGGCATCTCGTGCCGCGAGTTCATCGATCGCCGCCGTTGCACCAAACATGCATGCGAGGGTGAAGGGATAGACCACGCCGAGGAAGGGCTGGCTAGGATTCCCACCAGCCTCGCAAAGAAGTCGCACACCCTCTGCATTGTCGGCTATGGCCGCAGCACATGCCGGATAGCCTCGGAAGTAGTCATCCACCCTGGCCCGGCCAGCGAGAAGCGTGCGCACAGCATCGTTGTGTTTGTGGAAGAGGCACATGTTTAAGGCCGTATCACTGCGGCGAAATCCAGTAACTGGATTTGCTCTCCTGGTCTTGGCATTAGGGTCTGCCCGCAAGTCTAGCAAGGCTTGAATAAGTGCTGCATCCCCTCGGATCGCGGCATAGTGCAACGGTGACCAGCCCACACTGTCCACTTCCGTGATGCTTACGAAGCCATTCTGGTGGAAGAATGGCTGCACTGCATCGAAGCTGGCCTCCAATCCTGAACCTGCTGGACTTGAAAAGTTTGATATGAGCTCAAGCTCTTGGAAACGAGGGAAGCCTCTCATGTGAACCAGCTGGAGATTCAGCAACCCACGATAACCAGCCAGATCATGATCCTTCAGCCTGACCAGCAACTTGCGCTTGAGGGCACTAAGCAGAACTGGTGCCAGCCTTGCACGGTCCTCGCTGTCTGTGAATTGGCCTTCCCCTACGGGCCCTCCGAGGGTTGTGGCGGGATCGTTCACCAAATTCACATCTTTGGAGCTCTGGATGAGTATCCAAGTGTGATCTACGGACAGCTCTCGGCAGGCTTTCTCCATGCGGCACCAACCGCGCTCCTCAGATCAACAACTCTAAACCCTAAACCCTAAACCCTAAATCCTATAAGATCAAACCAAGACTGCGAAGTCTGGGCTGGTCCCCCAATGGCGGATTTGGCAAAAGTAGTTGAGTTAAAGTTTGGGCACTCACCCTTAGGCTCTTGGTGCGTAGTCGGTTGGAGGTAAAACCAGTATTCCAGAGAGCCTGCTTGCTAGAGATATTGGAGTAGCTCAAGGTCAAGCATCCTCATACGACAACATGTTGGAAGAAGCCAAGTATGTTTCGGGGCTCACTGTCGGAGATGTCAGGTAGGGTTCTCGGTGATTGACGGTTGGAGGTGACACCTCGGGGTTTTCGATTTGGGGTTTCGGTGATCGCTCTCGAATTTGGGTTTAAGGTCCGCCGAGAAAAAAAAGAGATTGTCCTGCTCTGAAACATGCATCTGCCCAAGTATACTGCGTGAACAACCGTGACGATGTGTGGTCGGCGATCACTGGGCAAAGAGCGAAGAAGAACGTGCAACGGGCAATGTACTCTGGGATGCTGCGGATAGCCAACTCAAGAGAATGTTGCGAGTGCTGAGGACACGAGAAGTAATCATACCACAAGAACAGCGGCGTCAAGAAAAGCTTCTTGGTCGGCAGGCCCTTGCAAGCTGGCTGCGTGAACTCTGTGACAAAGCTTGGATGCACCATCTGCACCTCAGACCTCAAACGCCTTAATGCATCCTGGAGCACCTGCAGCTGCTCGCAGTGCGGATCAGGATGCCTGCCCCCGATCCATTGGTGTGAAACGAAAGCAGCGTTTCCCAAGCCAACGTCATACATGACGAGAACCCCATGAGCCTTTAGCTCTTCGTGCGGACGGACCGCCCTCATCTTCAAAACGTCCTCCAAAGGCACCGTGTACATTGGGAACAGCAGCGGTGTATCTGCGACAATGTCATCTTCGCATGTGTCCCGCAAGGTCTGTGCAAACCTCTCGAGTGGGGTTGGCACCGATGATCTTCCCCAGGGACCACACCATGGCATTGCAAAAGGCCACAAAAGACCCAAACTACCTTTGAAGACTTTTGATTTTGACCGGCGAGAAAAACGGTAACCTCCAATCCAGAAGTAAGTCTCTGCATTGCATTGTGGCACTAATATAGGTTCACCTGCTGTTTGCAGTTATCAAAGCTGGGCGGTGGATTTAGGGGTCCTCGGACCATCGGATGTGTGACGCAGTTTCCGGGCAGAGATTATACCTTCAGTCTTCGGTGTCTAGAGTCTACCGGGCTCCAGCGATGTGTTCTGACTGAAATTCTCGAAGTTTGCAGGGAAACTCCGGGTCGTTCTGGACGTGAGATCGTCGAGGGCAGGGAGAACAATGAAAGTACCGCACCGCTTGTTTCTTCTGCTTTCCGGGACTGTGGGATTTGGGATACAAGGAACCTGGGATGCAAAATGCAATCGCCCCAATCCTACAAGCGAAGCTCAACAATTCCGGTGCCCTGACCTCCCCGACAGTCGCAAATGCCACAGCAAACTCTCAACCTCACAATGGAAGCTCCATAACCTCCCGGACAACAATCTTTGCTTGTTAGCGAAGGCACTTGGCGATCGGAAGGTCGTCAACCTGTGCCAAGAACCTCGACAAGGAAGGTCTTTTTCCCACCCGCCTAGCAGGCCTGAGGATTTAGGATCGAAGTGGGTTCTGTTATATGCATATGTATATAACTTATATAGTTATATATACAAGTGAGTTGTGTGTAATATGCATACATATAATGTCGGCTACGTTCATTCGGACCCGCCGAAGTACTTCATCGGTGGAAGGCCTAGATAGGATTTGCAACCTGTTTGCAACTCGGGAACTGCAGCTGAACTTTGCCATTTGGGTGGCGGCTTGGCAAAAGGATGCTGCTGCTTTGGGCCAGGCCAGGCAAGGGTCACCCGCAGGGCCGTAAAATGAACAGCAATTACCCGTTCTTGCGCGCTCTTGCACTTGAAGCTTTGGCGATCTGGAACCTCGAAAGCCGAAAGCGCTTGGCCTTGCTGTTGCTCTCAGTCCCCAAGGCTTGGACCCTTGAAAATCTGAAGCCCCCACGAACTCCCTCAAACGAGCCTCCAACTAGGCAGGAATGTTCAAACTCCGCCAGCACCAGGAGAAGTGGCTGAGGGATTATACGACGCCACCTTTAATACGAAAATGTCCCACCTCTACACCTTCCAAAGCCCCCTTGACCGCCGCCAAGGAGCGACTCCTCTTGGTCTAAGAGCAAAGTCAAAGCTTTGCCCTCTTTCCCCCGACGGGCAGTGCGCCCCACCCGGTGTATGTACCTCATTCGGGGCTCGGGCTACCGAGCTCGGTTGCTTTCGGTTTCAGGGATTCGGGGCTAATTAACTGCACACAGCTTCCGACACTACCGCTGCTTGCATCAAGGTACTGATCGCGGTCTCCGGGGGCCATGACGTTGAGCACCAGGGTAACCTTCTCTCCCGCACACAGGCAGAATGCTTAAGAAAGCTGTGAGGTGTAGAACTTTGTTCGGGTCATAAATGAAATGCAATAAGGGACTTACAACATTAAGTAATTGAAGCACCCAGCACCAGACGAACCGCTACCCCCAAGTCTCAGTACCCAAAGAGCTCTTGCACCGACGAATAGCATCGGGGTAGTCCATGCCCCTCTCTGAGGCCATCGTCGTGAAGAGCACAGCAGCTCGGCTCTCATTGAACTCCTGCATCGTCCGAGCCAGAAGAAGCCGTAATATAAGACTTACAAGGAAATCCTTCCATGGATGGAACTGTATCCTCACACAGTGGTCGTGCCAGAAATATGGGCTATCGGCTCGAAGATCTCGCTGCAAACCTATGTGTGAAGCCCTAAACTATTGCCTCGGGGTGGGGTCACTTGCGACAGTCACTTTGCGTGCTATCGGGATATCGAAGCAGTAAAGTGTAACAAAGCTGCAAGCATGATTGCAATGAGCCCGTACAGGTGAGAAGCTCAATTCTGTCGTGGGCATACTCCGTCCGAGGCACTGTGTGCGACATCAGGCGCGCATTCGGGTTCACGCGGTTGTGAAGCTCTAATATCCTGGAGGGTCGCCACAAGCTTGACTTGACTGTGCGGACGGTGGCTCGTAACTGTAACTTATAGCTGTTACAACTTCACGACCTAAATCGGAACAATATCAGTACTAACTAATTGGTTTGGTGTTTCTCACTGCTTTTAAACATGTGTGGCTCGTCATCAAAGCAACAAGCGTGCAATCGGTTGACACTGGTATGTCAGCGGTATCCTGCTCCACGATTGTTAAGGCATGGGTGGGTGTGCTACAATCGAGAATGTCTCAGCGCGCGTGCGTGCATGTTTGGATCTGCAGTCTTGACCCTTGCATCTTGAGGCTCTTGGAACCTATGGGTTCTTCTGTAGTTATACTGTGGTTCAGGAAGATATCAGGCTACAACGAGATACATCTTGATTGTGGAAACAATGTCTTGGAGAACCATTCGGGGCGCACAGAAGCTGAACAAGTCCGGGCTCAAGAGCTTGGTCATACCTTTTCCGGCTGAACGTTGCAGCACATGCCCGTGAACTACCGTCGGTAGTGTCAGCTGTCCTCATCCCAAGCTGTTCTCGGAAGAGTTGCGCCGCAAATGTAGCGAATCGTGATGTCGGGAAGAAGACTAGGACCTGCCGCAACTCGGAGAATGCAACCTTGCGAGATCAGCTAGGATCTTGAAGCTGTCAATGTCAAGGCGGGGAACAAACCTGGTTGTTAGAAAAGCCCGCCCCTCCTACCCACATGGCCGGGAAGCTCTGTGCAGTCTCACCTCGGAAGCTGGACACCCCCGAAGTCAAGATCCGGCACGAGCCGATGTCACAGGCACCTTGTGGGAAAGCGGGTTGTCACGGATCTCCTGATCCAGGGCATTCCTGAACAGGAAGGCCGGGCTCTGTGAAGTCGAGTCGTGCCAAGCGCGTCCGGGTTGGACTTCAAATATTGGACAGCAAGAAAGGCCAAGCTTTCTGGTCGCATCTTTACACATTAAGGAAATCCGGTGGCAGCCATAATCCTTGCGACAGCATAACATTTAATTATGCTCACCGTAGGGGTCCAACTGATGAAGCTACAGTCGACCCGTCTTATATGCAGCCAGGTGCCGAAGAGCCGTGCCAAGCAGGAGAGGTGGCGCAAATGCCACCGATTGCTCCACCGCCTTCATATGTATCCAGGACCGGCAGCTTACTGTGCCGCGCAAAGACTGTTATAGTTTTGCATTGTTTGCTCCATCGCGATTCATATACTGTACGAAAACAGACGAATTCCTGCTCCTTTCGCCGCACTGCAGATGCAGGGCGTGACATTCATCAATGCAGAGTCTGCAGGAATGAGTATGTGAGCACAGGCCTGTTATGTCGAGAGGCGTCTCGTGTTTCTTCCTTGTGTGGTGACTGGCCTCGTGCGTCGGTATGCCTCTGATGCAGTTCAGCTGACGAAAGCCGGGTCGGCAGAAGCGTGCGTAGAGCTGCTTCACCTGCTGTGATGTTCGAGTGAGCGCATGCAGGCTTCCGTTCCGCTCCAATCAAACACTGGGCATGATTGACCAATATATGTATGACTGTGCACATTCATCCCACGTCATGTCTAGATCAGTGCAATAGAATACCTGTCAGGCCTCGTCAGATATGGTCGCAGACGCCAGCATTGCTTGCCGCTGCGGATGCTTTGGCAAGTATGCAAGAAATGCCGGCAGGCTCTCCTGACAACAGGCCGGTGAAGAAAGCAACCGAAAGAATCGACGAAGCAACTGCGATCAAGCATGCAAGACATCATTTACCAACTTGCATCATGAAGCTTTGTGCCTTTCTACATCTTGCCACGAACGACGGTCTCAAGTGCTTGCCGGTGCTGGAAAAACCAAAATGCCACCCACTATCCAAGCGTAATCCAGACCGTTGAGCCCTGTGGCTTCGTGCAAGAGCCGGTCGCACTCATCCAGCACCAGTATGGACAAAGCTTCGAAAAGGGTCTCAAAGCCTCAGCATTCGGTGGGATGCTGAAGGACAAGCAGTGCCCAGCCTTTTCTCGAACCCTCATGTTTAGCATGCTAATGGAATGCGCAGGCATCGGTACCCTCAAAGAGCTGGGTTCAACTAGCATGCAGCCTTTTTCGCAGCGCAGACTGTTCCAATCAGTATTTTCTTTCACATGATTGCGCCGCCAGTGCCCCAAAATCGATACACAAATCCGCAACGCCGTAAGTCCCTGGGCAACCTTCCTCAGTGCATCCGCGGCACGTGAGGTGGCCTCGAAATGCTCTACGAGCTTCGCCTGATACTGCATGGACGCAACGTTCTACATGTCAACGCTGGACTACAGCACTCTATGGTGCAGGACAGGTCCTGTTGGTAGAGATCATGAATCCCTGCTGTAATTTGCAGTATTATTAGTACTACTGTGATGATGACTTTGATTGCTGTTCTGCTTATTCGTAGTAGTAGTAGTAGTAGTAGTAGTACTAGTAGTAGTAGTAGTAGTAGTAGTAGTAGTAGTAGTAGTGATAGTAGTAGTAGAAGTAGCAGTAGTACCCGAATCCAACCCCCTAGGACACGCTGGGCCTCAGATAGATGTCACGAGTGCGGGTTTTGGAACTCGACTCTTTAAAAGTTTGAACGTATCAAACGTGGGACGAAATTGGGGGGTTCCAAAGTTCGAAAATTTGAAAGTTTGGAGAATGAACAGTTTGAAGTTCGAAATTTCAACGTTTCGAGTTTGAAAGTGAGCGCGAGTTTGGAGTTTGAAGGTTTGAACGGGAATCGAAAGTTTGAAGCCGGAGCGACGTGTGCTGTGCGAGGGACGTGAGGTGAAGGACACGTGGAGGACGGAGGAGGGCTCACGGAGCAGCTCCCGGGCTCGAGTTTGAACGATTGATATGCCGGAGTTTGAAAGTTCGAAACAGAGGGAGTTTAAAAGATTGAAAGTTCGAGAGTTTGAAAGTTCGAAACTTTGGAAGGTTGAAGGTTTGAAGGATTGACTTTCGAACTTCGAAAGATGACATGGAGTTCGATCGTTCGAAAGCGTCCAAGTTTGAAAGTTTGAGAGTTTGAAGTCTTGGCAGTTTGAAAGTGTGGAGTTTTTGAACATATTCAAAGTTTGAGTTTGAGCGCATGTTGATGTTTTGACGTTTGGGTGTATGTCTTGAGTCCAGGGCCTAGGGCTTGAAGTTTCGAGTCACCAGTCACCAACTTTGCTCGGAGTGAAAGGATTAAGATATATGCTCAACCGGTCTCGCCAAAAGACGGGAATGGTTTAAGAAATCTGATGAGCCGAGATCGCCAAAGGAGGGGGCGGGTTGAAGAAATGCGAAGAACTGGAATCGCCAGGCGCGGGTCTAAGACATGTGATCAGCCGGGATCGCCAAACGAAAGGGTGGTAATTAAGATATTATGCAATCAACCGGGTTCGCAACGGCGGGGGAGGGGGGGGCGGGTTTAAACTATGGGAAGAACCGGAAAAGCTTGATGAGCAGGCGGGTCTAAGAAACGTGACCAAGCACCATCCCCAAATGAGGGGGCGGGGTTGAAGATATGTGATGAACCGGAAAGGGCCAAAGGAGGGCACGTGCTTCAGATCTGTGGTCAATCGTGATGGCCAGATAAGGAACGGGTTTTAAGAAACGTGAAGACTGAGAATCGCCAAAGGAGGATGCGGCTTCAAGAGATGTGGGCAAACGGGTTCGCCCAAATGAGGGGGCGCATTCAAACAATGTGATCAACCGGGGTCGCTACATGCCAGGGGATGGGATTCAGATATGTGATCAACCGGTCTGGCCAATGGAGCGGGCGGGTTTATGCGTATGCAAAGCGACTTGGCGGGTGCGTCAACACCACGGCGAAATATGCTTTTGTCGTCGTAACAGGGCAAGGTAGATCTGCGAACTTGACGGCTTCATGCCTTTTTGCGCTTCCAGATGCCCAAAATACCTCACCCGCCAATCCCTGTTTTATCAAATTACAAACCAAAGAACAACCGAAACCCTAGCCCCAACCTTTACAAGACTCCACAAAAAATTCACACTAAACCATAACGCCCAACCCTTAATCGCATACTCACCGAAGCCGTCAACATCCTAAGCGTCGGATAACCACGAGGACGTCACATCTCTACAGTTTCCATGCAGACTGTTGTACATTGTTGCCCCCGTGCTCTGCCCAGCTGGCAGCCTTCTATTCCTAGCGCCAAGAGGCCTTCTGGAAATCCAACTTTGTACTTGTGTGAGTGTATAGCAGCAAAAAAACTAGGGCAGGCCAAGGCGCATAATTACACAGCATACAAAACACTGTGAAACAAACACTACGGAAGCGTCACGTCTCCAAGGCTTCCGGCCAGACCGAATAAAAAAAACGGGGTAAGCTGTACGAGTAAAACAAACAAGCACAAAGACGCACAAACTGTTAATGAGAGCATAAGCTAGTGCAAGCCGCTTTTGGCAAGTTCATACATGCCACCACATGCTGGGCCTTTTCAACTTTCAAGCTTTGCGAACTCGAACTTACTCGACACCCGGTGGATCCTCGAAATTTCGAACTCGGCGCGGCTCAAACCTTCAAACAACAGTTCTAACTTTCAAGCCTTCGAACTTCAAATTTTCGAACTTTCAATCTCTCGAATTTTCGAACTCTCAAACATTGAGACTTTCGAACTGTCAATCTCTCAACCTACATGGTCAGTCGAGGGCTGAACCTGAAGCCAAACTTTCAAACTCCAAACTTTCGAAAATTCAGGCTTTTAAACCTGCGAACCTTCCAAAACTGAAACTTTCGAACTTTGAGAGCCGATCGAACTCGGCCGCGGTAAAAGTTTGAAGTTTTAGTTCGAAGCAACCAGTCGAGGTCGAAAGTTCGAAGGTGTGAGAGTTGGAAAGTTTGAAGATTTCGAAATTGAAAAGTTCGAAGTCTTGTGCCGGCTTGCTTGCGCATACCACGGAGACCAAACTTTCGACCTTCAAACCTTCAAAGTTTGAACCTTTCCAACTTCAAAGTTTGAGGCCTTCAACGTTCCCAACACCCTCGCACGGGACATCATTCGGGCCCCAGGGCCCCAATAGTTAAGCAGGAAAAACAGTCGGTTTCTCCATCCCCAAGTCCCGGTCGAGGTGCTAATGTGCCCACAAGAATGGCCGGCCGTCGTCGTCGTATGGCCGCCTCATCCTGCCATCTATGCCAAGGTCCCCCCCCAGAGTCCCTAAACCGAGCTGTTGAGCTGGATGCCCTCCGGAAGCCTGAACCTTGAAACATATCGTCGGCCTTTGCCCGCGCCACGCCACCAATGATGGGCACCACCTGCCTAGGCTGCCCCACAAGCGTAGCCGATTCTGGCAAACGCGGTGACCGGTTCGGGTCCAGGATTTCATCACTGGCTTTTGCCGGAATTGGGTTTTTGCGGGGCCCTCGGCCACAACACTAAACCGTGGCACTTCATGACATCCATGACTCTCCACATAGAGAGGGCGAGAATGGTTCGACGTACAACTTGACAAAGATGGCGGATTTGGAGTGTTGCGGATTCTTCCAGATCTCATATCCAATCATCCAAAGCATCGGGCATAGGCCTGAACGTTTTGGGGGCATGCAGTGGTCATTGCCACCATTCTTCATTCAACCACTTCCGCTCGTCAATCTCCAAAACTCCAGCTCAGCCCGGAGTTCTTACGCAGGGTGTAGTGTAGGCTGCAGACGATAGGGCTTAGTTCGTTCTGCTTTTGATCCTCTGCGAGCATGTCCCTGCAAATGGTCAATAAAGCCTAACCTTCATAGAAACCCTCCAGCTCAACAGTGCATATACATCATGGACCGTAGGCCTACCCGAAAATCGGAAAATCCGTTCAGCTTCTCCTTGGCAAGCTGCAGTTTGTGGTAGGAGCACAATGTCTCAGCATCCCTGGTTATTTGTATCACCAGCTCGCCTGAGCGACGCAGCTGCGCACGAACGCTCCAGAACGCAACACAGTAACGGAAACACGTGAAACTGGTAGAATTAGGCTTATCGACCAGCGTGTCCATGTAGTGCGCTGCAGACAGCGTTTCTAACTGACTTTTGTGAATGCATGTAGACTGGCCCAAACTCCCGTCCATACCGTGGACCCTGTCTGCCCGTTGACGACTCAGCTTCATGCGACTAGCAAAGCGATGCCTTTCGTGGGCGGCTGTGCGCATTTTCACGATGCCCAGCTGCGCGAGGGCGCCGCGATGAGCACTCCGATTCCAGGAGGCGGATTCTTAAGAAGATGCTCGACAGCAGGGATCAGGTAGACAAGGGTCTTGCCAGTGCCTCCAAGGCTGGGACTTCGGCTATGTGCCAGCTCTGAAGCTGCTCTCTCCCGGCATCCTGCCTGTACGAGCGTTGATGACGAAATCCGTTCCTGCCAAAAGCCAAGGAAGCATGGCCAAAATGAGAACACTGAACACAGATCGCAAGTTGCTGCGCAGCTGCAGCGACGACAGCTAGGGTATGCACAGCCACACACCAAAATATCACCAAACATGCAAGTGAACGGCATGAGCCGGAAGGCAACTCTTACCCTGCACCCGAAACAGTATTGTTCAATAGATCTCAAAAAAGTTCAACACCGCGCTATCGTATCCTGCCTTACACCCCAAATCTTGCAGCAACTGCCAAACAGGACATGAAGTCGTCCTTTGGCATCCGATGCGAGGAGTTCTGGAAGCACCTGCGAATAATCGGTGCTGGTATCCATTGTCGGTAGCAGGAAAAGGCAGAGTCAAGCGATGTGAGAGTGTACGGAGTAGCACCGGGGTCATGATGGCCTGTCCGTCCGATTGCAGGTTCAAGCGAACAGGAGGAAGCACGGGAAAAGCATGGGCCGAAGTCCAAATTCCGAACCTCTCATGTTTCAACTACCCTCCGAAACGGCTCTGCCTCTGCCTGGACCGGGGTTGCTTCCGCAAACCGGAAAGCTTCCTGAAGTCCACGCAGCGTGTTCGGATGGAGATCCTCAGCTAGCCCGTTTAGTTTGATGGTTGTTTCACTGTGCCCCCCTCCCTCTCCTGCAACCCCCGTTGCCGAGCCCACGACAAAGGAGTCGAAGGACACGCCAGAGCCGGTATTCAGCTTCCTCGCCAGCTGAGGCTGTTCATTGTCATGTGCTTCAGTTAAAACCAGGGTGAACGATGTAAGCAACAGGCTGGTGCTCGTGTGTTCAGCGTCTTCTGCCTCCTTTATCCTCCTGTTGGTCTGGGCCCTGTACTTCTCAGCGCATGACCTATCTGATTGACAGAAGTATCTGGGAGTGAGCAACAACTACATCAACTATATCCCAATGCTCACCGCTACAGGCGAGAACAATGAAACCTCCTGACAACGGATGCTGGTACTTCACGTAACATTCCCATGCCACGGCTCTGCTTCAAACGCCGCGACATCATTGAACGCCATCGGAGCTGGCTCACGGTCCATGACCTGGCAGGATCGACCCGCTGCTCTTGCATGCGTTTGATTGTCCGCAGGTTGTCTTGTTGTCACTGGCGTTTTTTGTGTTGCTCCGATTCCTGCTTCGATCTGCTTGCTCGAAATCGTCACTGCCATTCAGGCTTCCACTTGGTCTTCAAGGTACGCAGCTATCCGAATCCTCCTCCTGCACTCCGACCGGGCTCACTGACGAGGTTTCACTCCCAGGCCCAAGCCGGGAGGTGACTGGCGAGCGAGAGCGCCAGAGCCGCCAGAGGCCGGCAGCCGGCATCCACATGCTCGGGCCAGGCTTTGGGCCGAGCATTTCACCGATGTTTTCGAAGCTGATTTACAAAATATAGCCGAATCAGGTTTCGGGTCATGGGATGGGCCTGTGGGGCTGAGATTGATTGCCTTTGGCTGAGGTGTATAGGCCGCAGATGGTGCGCTACTTTATTTTGTGTACTATGGGATTCAAGCATTTAGCAGCATTGCTTTGTACAGTTCGCATGGTCCAGCAGAAGGTACCGTTCGATGTGCAAAGAGCTCAGTATGAGCTTGAACAGCTGCGATTCAAAATCAAGCTGAATCAGGCATCAAAACCTTCTATGCACCACAGCTGGGCACAAGCGCCTCTTAGCTTTTGTAAACAGAAGCATGGAATTCTAGCTAGTCGCATGGCTTGCCACAGCCATCTTTGTGTTCTCTGTAGAACTTCTCCTGGAACTTGGACATTGGGGAAGACCTTGGCCGTCTAGTGATGTAGCACTTTGTGAGATTAGGTGACCGTCCGCCATGCGTTTTCATGCGCTTTCCCGGTGCTAACTCAGGACGCCTGCCATTGCGGGGCTTCCTCTTCAATACCATATGTTATGTTGTTGGCCGTCTTTTGTGTGTAGGGGGAAGACGATGTTCAGTTTGTTGGTTTTGGGAGGCCGGAGGCTCATCCCAAAAAGACTGTATGTTGGCACTGGTCTGTAACTGTTTGGATAAGGTCGGGTGTGCCAACAAACAGAGCGCCACGTCAAGACGAAAAACACCTTGCACGGACTCTTGCTCTTGGTTCGTGATCAAATCATGCAAATCCGTCCCATACGCAAGTGCTGCTGCTGCACACGACAGAAGTGTGCAGCAGTAGCTCTTGCGCCTGCGACTACCTCTGTTGCATGAGGCAATGAAAGACATCTCAACATGAGATCAGTTTTCGAGATTTTCGACACTCCAGTAATGTACAGTTGGAGCAAGCAGTTGCTCAAAAGCACGTGTTGCCGGTAATCCAAGCCCGAACTCCAAAACGACAAGCAAACTGAAAATGCCACCTGGACATGAACTTGCAGACAGGACGCGAGGTAAGCCCAGGGAACCAGTCCGGATTCGAATGGATCCCATCCTGCATAGCCCACCTCCGATAGGACACAACTTGGAGCACACTTGCTTCACCAAGGTGATTCAAACTGGAGACTTCCTTCTCCATTCTCCGTCTACTATTTCTGACAGAGCCTTATCAAGACCTTAGCCTCCAATCCTCCGCCAAGTCTAGAACATTCACATGCTGTTACCTTCCCAGCGTGAACCGCTGCTATGCTCTCAGTTTCTCACAGAGAGGTTTGCTGAACCTCTGCGGTGCTAAACACTACGCCGGCCGACCGAAAGAAGTTCAAACATCAGACTCCCTTCATGAAAACCCCACCGACCCGAGCTCCGAAGGCTCCACACGCCTTCTGACACCGCCCCCCAAGCTTTCCCTCCCAAGCAGACTGATGGTTTCGATTCACAACGGTAAACCATCCACTGAGCTCAAGCCCCCCACTCGACCCGAATCCCATAGGCCCTAAACTCTGACTCTGAATCTACACCCCTATACAGCCTACGTACACCCTCAAGCCCTTACAATCAACTCTCATGGATCCCCAAACTGGGCGCAAGGGGCTTGATGACTTTGAAGCACTCCGAGCCCGGCTTCGGAACCTCACACGGAGCAAGCTCGGCCTGGAGCGGAGAGGTGAGCGACTTTCAGGAAAGACAAACAAACAAATCTTTCTCTTTCGTCGGGGCTATGGGCTGGGGATTGCTCTCTTGCTCTTGCTACGTCTCGCTCTCTTTCTCTTTTCTGCTTTCGCCTAAGGGTGCATTAACAGCCTCACGTTGTTCCGGAAGTTCTTGCTCTCCCGCTTTCGCTGTCTCCCTGTCTCGGCGTTTTAGACACCAAGCGAGGTCTGGTACGGTTGGGTGCTCACGCTGGGGCAGGCTTCGGCTGTTTGCAGAAGGTCTAGCAGTCTAGCAGGTTTTGCACGAGAAGGGCGAGGGCCAACTGTCAACATGGGACATGGGGTTCGCCGAACACCGAACCTAACTACCCGCCCCGGGATTCGGACTCGAAACGCCTATGCAGGTCTACATTGCAACGGACCCCGCGACCGTTGACATCCTCGCAGCTGGAAATTCATTATCCCGGTCCCTGAACAACGGAAGTAAGCGTCCCAAATTGAACAGCTGACTCCTCGAGTTCTGGGTTTGGGGCTCTGCGCGAAGATAACTGGCTGGTGAGGAGACATGTTCGCCACAACGGCTGCAGGCCTTCTTAGTGTCAGTGCCATCATAGGGCTCCACCGTCTCTGAGTGAATCACGTTCCCCTTCCAGTTGATGGACTCAATCTTTATCTCGTCCTGTGCCGGCGGATGGCTGGAAACCTGTGTCAGCTGCTTGTAGCCACAATGCTCCTGGCTTTTTTAACTTGGCGAGTTTAATGCACTGTCGCCCATGCTGGGATCACGGGAAGACAAACAAGATCCTTATCAAACGCAGCTTCGTCGCAAGGAGCTTTTCGAATAAACTGCAAACCCTCCGTCATGTGTTGTGGGCACGCCCATAACCCAAATCCTATCCGAATCCACGCGCCACCCTCAAGTCTCAACCCCATAGCCCGCAGCTGATGCCTTCGACATGGACAAGTCGAAAAATCCGTACCTGCAGCGGTGCGCCGGCCAGGTATGAGAACGGAAAAGGCCCAGCTTAGCAGAGTTCCGAAACGTGCTACTGCTCGCAATCGAAGGTGCTGGTGGTCGTTGTCGTTCTCCAGCTCTACATTGTTCTCCGACGTAATGCCGCCCCCACCGCCAGTGATGAAGCAGGCAAGACCCCCTAACTTCTCCTTGGCAGGGATCAAGCTCCAAAGAACTTCAGAAGCAGTCTTAGGCCATGTTGAGATTCACTATGAAAGCGGCGGGTTCGGGCTATTCAAGAACGATGGAGCAGCGCGTTACTTACAGAGCAGCGAGCAGCTTCCGTGTAGAAAGCCTCGAGTCCTAGGGAAGTGGTACTGAGAGTTATGAGGAAGCGGAGGAGAGCGGGAAGCTGCAGCACATCGTCATCATTACAGTCGTCAAGCCAACATAATCGTGATTTGTTCGTGATGAGTGGTGCGCTTTCTCCTGACACTTCTCCTCCGGCGTTGTAAAGGAATGCAAAAGAGTTCCGCAAACCAACAAACCTCACAGTGTGCTGTGTGCCGCAGCTGCTCAGCCAATCGCGGCAGTCTACGAGTCGGGGAGTGTTGACATGTCCCTAAGTCATGGCATCTGCTTCGGATTCTCGTCCGAAACTACACACGGCCCGCAGGTGCGAATAGCAGCAGTTCCCATGCAAGCACAGCAGCAATTGAACTGCACAGAGACTTAGAGCATGACAAGGGAAAGAGAGCGTATCAACACACACACACACACACACTCACAAATAACTGCTCCAAACGGTTGTCCTCGAAGCAACGCAGAGCCCTGCCTTTGCAGGAAACAATGCTGACGCGATATGCTTCGTGTATCTAAGCCGAAGATCCGGGGCCCAGTACATCATCTGATAGTGCGTGTGGCCGGTCACAAGCCTCAGTCTGCGCGACTTCGGCCGTGACTTACCCGTCCCCAGACCGAGCACAAAGTCCCAAACCCAAAATCTTCTGAGGACAAAAAGCCAGCTCTCAATGCTGCCTGGGAAGCAGGTCCAGCCCGTACTTCAGGTGCAACTCCTCGTCATGCTCTGACAATTGTGCTCTACTTCTGGATGCGCATATTGTCCATGATCTTGGTGAGGCGACGTTATGATTTCGGGGCGGTGATGGTGGCGATGGCGTCGGTGATGACAATGCTAGTGGCATGATGATCAACGAAACACTTACGGCGTGGGTGAATGACACATGTCACAAGGGCTTTTCAGATGTTGGCCCCGGGCTCGTGTAAGTTGCGTGAGCAGCAACAGGCAAAACTCATCACAACCCTTCGCCGGCACCTTGTAGTACTTGACCTTGTGCCCACAAGGAAAATGCGTGACCTGAGGTCTTCCAGAAGTGGATTGCATATCAATGAACACCACGTTCTGTGAGGCGATTCGACATGCATCGCCGCTGGGCCAAAGCCCTTCTGATTGATGGCATTTCTTGGAGCACGGAAAACAAGCAAGACGCCAGCAGACAAGAAGCCCAAAACCATTGAGCTGGCCAAGAAACCATGATTTGCCACTGCGCATCTGACTGCTTAAGTTTCTCCGTCGCCTCGGATGGGATGAAGGACGCCGAACGTAAGACGAGGCTTGATAACTTGGGGTACAGGCGTCGAACTTGATTGTTTCATCAGAGGGTCCCGGGGCCTAGTGTAACTTGTCCTGTATCCTGGCCTGGCAGCTACAGTACTAGGCCTAGGCTACTCCGCAGCCTGAGATCAGGTCTCTGGATCTGGGGCCGCAGTGCCCTCAACAACAGAGTCTATTGACTCGGATGAGCTTTCGCAGATCCAGTGTTGGGGGGCAAGGACTCGAACGACTTCCAAACCGTGCCTGGCAGGAACGGCACAAAGAACGCTGCGAGTGAATATGCGCCGCAAATCAGTTCTCCTTGTGTATTGCCTTTGAATTCCTTGAAAGTCTGCAGAAGATTCCGGAGCCCCAGTATGCCTCGAGGTCACCCACTGGGCGCCTTCATCCCAAAGCTTTTGGAACCAGTTGTGGCACTCGTGGATGCCTGCCAGGGCTTAGGGTACAGCAGGATCTACTGCAGCCTGCGGTTCGAACCCAAAATTGGGAATGAGGCTGAGAGAGCTATCCCTGCTTTTTGTTGTGTGTGTGTGTGTGTTGATGTTGTTACTTGAGGACATGGGTAAGCAGGAAGAATTGATGCCTAACTCGTCAGGCTTGTTGGACCGGAGCGGCATGACAAAGGCCGGCGTCTAAAAGACTGCAAGAGTCTGCAAGAGGGAGTGCCTCCAAGATTTGTGGTTTTAAGCCCTAGTAACCTTAAACTTAGCAGTCTTCCTCTCCTGGCACCCCAAACCCGCACCCTGAACTCCTGGTCAGGGCAATGCAACTCCCTGAACCTTAAGCACCATTTTGATGCAACCGGGCGTCTGGAAGGTCCTCCAACCTTCGCGCAGGAGGAGCCCGGAGGGTTGTGGGCAGCGCCGCAGATGTTGTGCTCCGGGTTGGAATTCCTGGTCTTCTGCATTTGTTGAGAGTTGCCACCTATGGTGTGAGCTGGTTACAGTTGTGTCTTATAGCTCTGCGGCAACGACTGCTGTTGGCCTCTACAGTAGGCCCACAGAAGAAGACGCCGCTGCTCCAAAAGGCCTTACAGCACTCAGCACGCCCCCATCTTCAGCCTGGCGTCACATCCTCGTCAGCATCCTCTATGTTGGAGTCGATCATCAAAATGTCGACAGTGTAGCCCTGATCTACGTACTCGACCTTCTGCATCCAATAGGGAGCCTCGGGACTTCAGGCGTGCGGCGGCTCCGGATTGGAGGGACCTGACCTTTAAACTTTCCGACAAAGACACTCCTAAAGTCCTGAAGTCATGACTGCAGTGCTCTCGGCACTGGCAGGCGTGGCCAGTCAAAGGTTCTTCAGAGCTTCCTCCACTACTGAAGCCGTGAACCTTCGAGCTTGGAGCTCAAAGGATGCATGCTGAGGACCCGTGTGGCTCAAGCCGGTCCAACAGACGGACACTCTGACAGCAAGACGGAAAAAGAAAGAGTGATAAGTGTAAGGGTAAGTATACATATCCGTTCACGTGTCTGCGCCAAGAAGCCGGAAGGACCCAGCGGTTGCTGACCCATGTATATGCTATCTGCCTCGGACGGATGGAAACGACCGGATGCTCGTGAGTTCGTCGGTCTGAGGCTTGGGCTTTCTCGAGATCGGTGCGGGCTTGATTTGCTCGCCCATGACAAACGCAACAACGGGCTTCCTAAACTTGAACGGGCCTGTCCCGGAAGACATCTCGGCGCCTTTGCTGCATGACAATCCCATGCTGTCACTGCGGTGGAGGTGCTGGTCCCATGCTGCGTCCATTTCCCGGCCTGCGAAGCGGTGCACCAAGATCTCAGACTGCGGAATGTTGATTTGGCATGCGAGAGGGCGGCCGTGCAGTGGAAAAACAAGATGCTATTCCCAAGCTTCATACCCAAAACTCTGTATTGCCCCTCCAGCCTCGCACTTGTGCGGCGGCCAATAGAACCGAAGTTATCATGCCGCGATGGCTACGCATGTCATAAACACTCCAAATACAACTCCCCAAGCTCAAGATAAAAGCCCGAAGCCCTTCACCTTACAACCAAAGTCTTCATCTCTAAACCCTGTTCCCAACCTCTCACTCAATGCTGGCCCCACCTCCCCAGTCGTGATTGCCGAGCACGGAAAGCCACGGCCTGGAAAGCTTCCGGGTAATACCGGCACTAGAGTCGTAGTGACGTAGTATCAGTAGTATTTAGTAGCGGCTAATACGAGGACGACTATATGCTTGTTACAACTTGCTACTCGTAAAGTTGCTAAATGAAAACGATTGGGACAAAACAGACGTATTTACATCAAAGAAACGCACAGCACGGATTGCAATTGGCCTGCTCGAACAAATCGCAAGCACTAAATGGATGGCTCACAAGGTGCCTCTACAGACGGGGATCCCGCTGTCTGAGCGCCCGGCTTTCCATCCAGCCCAGGGCCTTTATAGACATTCTCAAATATCCAGTTGAACTGGGCGCGGGTGATGTCGTTGACTTTGGACATGGGCGTGTCGCCACATTTGCCAGCGATACCGCCCCAGTAGAAGTTATCCTTAGTTGCCGAGTTAATAAGCCGCGAAAAAATCAAACTTGATGGAGGATCATACCATTCCAAAAAATGTAAAGTATACTCATTCAGCTACCCAGTATCGCCGACATTCAACAGGTAGTCGGGGTTGTTCATCTGCAAGACAGGTGAAGGTCTACTGAGACTCCGCATTGGAAACCTAGGCATTACCTGTCCGATGAAGATCTTTTCAGCCTAAGAGCAAACATGTGTTCCTGCAGGGAACGAGTTTCTTGTTATGGACACTCGTGCACCATGTTGCTGCCTTCGCGCGCTTGATCATCTGATCTGCCACCAGGTGCTGGGCTTTAGTATCAATGTCCTCGATCCAGCCACATCGCGCAGGACAATCCGTGCCGTTCGTCGCGAAACAATCAGACATCTCCTTGGCTGCGTTCACGTCGAAATTTCAATCTGCTTGCTCCAAACCCTGACGGAGCCGTACAATCGAAGCGAATTCAGCCAGAAACAAAACAATCAAGTTCGAGGCCGAGGTTCAGGGGTGGAGCAAGAAAGGTCATGCGTCTTGGCGTCAGTACGATATCGGCCCATGACATGTGGACCCATCGTCTGACCACCCTTGTACCTTTGCTTTTGTAGATGGGCCGGGGGACCGGGAAAGTTCGACTTGCCTTTCCTAAGGAGGGTCCTTATCAAAGCTATGATTTATGCCGTGCAGTTCTGAGGCTTCGCAGACAATATCAGCTGGGCATGCGGTCGTGTCATCGTCCCAGGTGCTGGATGATCTGGCTGTTGTGAGGGAGCGTGCCCGCCAGGCCACCCCAGTCGCCAACTGCAAAGATGTGCGTATTGGTGCCTGCGCAAAAAAAAGGAGCAAGGAGACTGCGGTGTCTGAGTCACAAAAAGAGACGGAGGTATGCACAGATTTGGGCTCCGTCGTGGCTGATGGAAGGTGCTTTCTCAGAGGAGCTGAAAAGTTTACAGCCTAATGCAGCAAAGCCCCGGTACCTTTGATTTTCATGGCGGGCCATTCGATCCCGTTGTACTCGAAGGGATGCTTGGGAGGGCGAATGCCCCTCATCGATCTCGTCATCACAGAGTGCGGAAAATGCAGCCTGCACACGCTAGAAAGAGCTCATCCAAGACCGCAGACCAGTGCAATTAGAAGCTGAAACATGCAGTCACACATACTTGCCGTGTAATGGCAACTGGTCGCACAGTTCTGGAACGCTCATGCAACGCTCATGCACCATATCCGAAATTTTTCCATGTATCAGCCGCAAGCAAGCTAAGGATACTTGAAGCAGCATAACGCAAGAAGACTGACAAGGCCCGTAGCTGCATTTGACGCAGCCAGGTGGCGGATCTTCTGGCAACCCACCTGTGACTTAGGGTCGTTGTCTGAACAGCGCAGCGAAGTGCACCCAACTCTGCACCGCTCGGAACTAAGATGCAACAACTGTGTAGGCCATTCCTTCCTGGGCAACGATGCACACTGGATTTGCCGGCAGAACGGTAGCTGCGCCTGTGCATGGCCGAGGGCAGCCGCCCTCCCCTGCTCGGTACAACGTGTCCTGCAGGTCCAGGGATGTTCATTGCACCTTTATTTCGAGTCCTTTTCCCGCCCTGAGGCTCGATAGAAAGCCGTTGCATACAGGAGATTTCAGGAGCCTCAATGTCAGTAGTGCTTGACCGGAAAATGCGTGATGGATGAATGGATGAATGGATGGATGGATGGATGGGAGGAAGATGTAATGTAATACAACGCACGGTAGTGTAAAGTAATTACGTTTGGCTGTCCGTCCGTCCGTCCGTCTGTACAGCGTGTCTCTGTGTGTGATTGTGTGCATGTAAGTGAGTAAGTATGAATGTGTGTGAGTATGTGTGTACGTCTGTATGAAATTATGATAATTTGTGCGTGCGTGCGTGGGTGGGTGGGTGGGGAGGCGGGCGGGCGAGTGGGCCGGTGCATGGGTGCGTGGGGGGCTTGGTGTGTTTGGCTGTCTGTCTGTACGTGTGTACGTATGTACGTATTTATGTATGTATGTATGTATGTATGTATGTATGTATGTACGTGTTTATGTCTTTATGTATGTATGTATGTATGTATGTATGTATGTATGCATGTACGCATGTATACATGTACGCAGGTGTGTACATGTATCTACCTCATTCTTCTGTATCTGATTTCCCCCGATGAACTTCCAGCACGATGTCCCAAACCCGATTCGCAAACATGCTTGTGCTGCTAAGGTAAGTAAGCTTCACTGCTGCCTTGCAACGCACACCAAAGGCTCAAGACTCTACACTGTGTATGGTTCTCCAGAATACCTTTGTCCAGCTTCGGGTGGCCTGATGCTTCACACCTAGACCAAGTTTGGCAATGGCTTGGCCTTGGGAGAACCGCATCTCTGTAAAAGTCAGCAGGACACAAAGACAACTCATATGTACCCTGTGATGCTTAGCAAGCGCAACCAAAACAGAAACGCGTGTCGCACGCAAAAAACATATTATGTTATGTCTGTTACATCTGCATCGCATGCCGAGGAAACTCTACCAACAGCTTCCCGTTGCAACCTAGGTCTGCAAAGCTATCCGAGATCAGATTTAAGTGGCACACTTAACCCGGAAGCACGCTCAATAACAACCACCACCTCCGATGGACCGGACCCAGCCTTCAATCTGAACCAAGGGGCAGGGGTAAACGATTCCGGGTCCTGGAACTTGCTCGGAGCTGACTGAGGCGTGAGGCCTGGATACCAGCCAGGGTTGGCATAGATCCTGAGTCCAAGCAGGGGATTTTTGCAAGTACCTCAGTGTCGATCACCGGTTCGCTTTGCCTCCCCTTTTGCCAGCCTCCGGCTCCAACCCCGACTGCTTAGTACTGTATGGTGCTGTGCCCGTTGATGCTCTGCGGAAACGGACCTAGACGATTTCAGTGAACTCGGAAACAAGGTTCAAACGTATCTTTCTGGGGCCGAAGCATGGCCATATCAACATACTCATCATCGTGAACTGCAGAGCTCAACAGTTGTTCACCGCTGCAGCCGACAAAACTAAGTCAAACGGCCCATCGCTCATCGCCCATTTGATCTTCTTGAAGCACCTTGCTTGGATCTTGCGAAGAATGAAGCGTCAGGGCTATGGCCTCTGCAGTTCAGGGGGGTCATGATTACTCCTGCAGGGCTTGCCGATTTGGAGCTGAAAGTAAAGGATGTCTCGGAGTCCTTCGGAGTCGGTTTCTGGTTCCGATTACGATGAGGTAGGATGAGGTAGGTGTTGATGCCGGTTTTTGGCCATGGCTACTAGCCGGGCGGGCTGCTGCGCTTCGCTGCCAGTGGACCGAATTGCCGGGGCCGAGGTTTGCACGCCGCACCGAGACCACTGTGATGCTGGCCAACACTGGCCCGGACGGGGGGGGGGAGGGGGCTGTCCGTGATGCTGGGAGCGAGAGCGCTAGCCGTTGTTGATTTCTTGGCTTCCACTGTTGCGGGGTTGGAGAGTCAGGTTTCGCCTGTTCGCCGAATCCTCGCACCCAAGTTGGGTGAAGCTCCACAGACAAATCCCAACGAAAGCGATTTTCCGACCAAATGCCTCTGAGACTGACGACCCAATCCGGGCACCCGCGCATCTGCGTTCGAAGCTTTCCGTAACTCCGAATCAGCCCTCTGAAGCTTTAGAGGCACTCCGTCCCGGCGATCTGATCGCTGCAGTCCGGATCTTTGGTGGGATCCTCGGGCTCTACCTTGCCAGCGGTCAAGCTTTGGGCCTTTGGCCCCTACGGCGTAGATCACAAGGTTCGACAGATAGGGGCCTCCACAATGGAACAACCGAAGACAGTTTCGGGAGATTGGACCAAGATTAATTTCAAGAGGATGTGCAGGTGTCTCCGGCTGCTGTGCTGCAGTGCTTGTAGACCTTTAGAGGTTCGGATGACAAGGAAAAAGTTGGAGCATGATTGGCCTTGTGCAGGATATGGAATCTCAGCACCAATCCTTATCCGTGTCTCCACTTGTCGGAGTTTGCTAGGCATCGACTCACCCGATGCAAGGCAGTTCCATGTTCCCGATCCCCATGTCCCTAAAGCTTCAAGCTATACAAGCTTGGCATCCCACAACTCGAAAATGGAGTTTTGCTCGGTAGCTGCAAGCTCCAACCGAACCTCCTGAAAGCACGCTCCTATGACTTGGGCATTCAGGTTCTTTCGATGTTGAAGGCCTGGCTGCCTTAGGTAAAGGTCCAGCACACTACAAAGAATGGCCACGATGACAAGCCCCAACACCGCAACCCGAAGTCCCACGACTTGTAAACTGTATTACCTTGGCCAAACCTTCTATGGCGCCTCGAAACCCCGAAGCCGAAACAAGGAACCCCAATCCTATGAAAGCCTCAAACCTCCAAACGCGAGCTTGAGGTAACCCAAACAGCCCTTTCGCCCTTGGGCAGTCTTAGGCCCCAAGCATAAGGAGTGGTTGTCGTCTCCTCCACGGCTTCGGTCACCTCCGGAGTTCCCTCCTCCTTGTCCTTCTCACCTGCAGGAGGCAGATTCAGGACTCCGGGATTTGGGGCTGCGGTCCTTTTTTACCCCGGGAAGGTTCTGCGACACGTTGGGCCCTATTCTGGATCCCCAACCAGACGCAGGGCGCAAACGTCACATAACGTCACTAGCCGCTAGCCACTAGCTAAGCTTCCGTGGACCACTACCATGTATTGTCTCTCTCTCACCCTCTGCTTCTCCTACATACGATGCACACAATGTCAATGGCATACTTTTCTAGGTGAATTAATACATATACATAAACCTTGTGGATATTGGTCACAGGTCGAAACGTCTATGCAGTGACAACAAAGGCCTGGCACCGCGCCGCCACTCGGGCCGCTCGGTCCGCTGATGCCGCCATCTATCCCAGGGTCACTGCATTTGCCGTTCTGGAAAACGGAACCTTCCAGGCCTCAGAGCGATGTCAACCGACTCTGCGGCCCCTTGTTGCAAACTGCACTGGCAAATAGCAGCGGACGGAGATCATGGCATCTGTTTTCACATACCTACTTGCCGATAAACACAGAAGTCAACCTGGCGCATGACTTTGCACTGGCGGCCTACAAGCACCCAAGAAGGCAGGTACACGAGCACCACATGAGTACCGGCCAATATCCTGGTAAGCCTTGAAACCAAGTTATCCATGTAGGCTGCAGGCAGAAGCAGTAGCTGTCAATGCAGGTAGCTGGGCCGGCCCTTAGATCTCCAACTGTCATAGAGGAATTCTCATCACCGTGAAGACTTGCCTTTCTTCCTTCGTCTGTTGGGTTGCCAGCTTGGCTGAAGTGTTTGTTCCACCACTGCAAAGGTGCTCCCAAAAACGGTCTGATTACCTATCACATCGTTGAGTGTAGGAGTGTAGGACAATCAGCTCCTGGCATTGTTTTTTGAGCACCTTCGCGCCACAACTAGCAATGAGATGTGGGGCTTTCGGGCAGGGGATCATCCACTGCCTTTGGATTTGTTCACTGGGCCTTCGTGAATGTCGTACTGCATTCCAGAACAGCCCAGCCCAGTGAATTCCCTCTCACATGTCGTTCCGACTCGCGCTTTCAACCCCGATTACTGCACACCTCAAAGCACCGTCCACATATGCAAAGAAAGTCAGTGCAGCATCCTGAGCGGCCGAGCAGCTTATCCAGGCAGTACCCTCGGACACCGCACGATTCACCGGTGCGTCGCAGTCCCATGTGAGTCTTCGGCGCCAACCTTGCTTTTGGGGCTTCCTCTCTCTGAAGCCGCACTTCGGGTTAACATCCTTGATCGAAGCACGCCTGGCAAATGATAATTCTTCTTGCCGTCAATCGTTTCGTCGACGTATTTCGATGGCGGCGGCGGAGGTGGTCGTGCTGCTGCCGGTGGTGTGGTTGTCTCTACTACTACTCCTACTACTACTACTACTACTACTACTACTACTACTACGACTACTACTACTACTGCTACTACTGCTACTACTGCTACTACTGCTACTACTGCTACTACCTATTACTACTACCACTACTACTAC